AAAAAACAAATAATTAAGTAGGTATACTGAAGGGGATTTTACGGTTATTGGTAATAAAGCCTGGAAATAAAAAATACTAGCTGTACCCGCGGGCTTTGCCCCGTTTAACTTCATAAGTATTCGCGTGGCTCATTCACGTCCTGGTTGAGGTTCGTTCGCTACGCTCACTCACCTTTTGTTTGGAAATTAGCTGTTGTCATAAATTAAAAAAAAATAATAGTGCTGCACCCTGTTGGTAATTCTTGTAACTTTTATGCTATTGGACATCGTAGAACAGAACCAACTTGTTTAATTGAAACAGCTGTTAAGATTCATTAATTCCTTTTAAATATGAAAAATCATAAGATTAACATGGGGATCTACAGAGCCACTGGGGCTGAGCCCGAAAGGGTTTTTGAGATAAGAATATGCTTTAATGTTAATCGGGAATGTGAGCTATCATCATGCCAAATTTCAGCCCAATCCGTCCAGTAGTTTATGCGTGATTGAGCAACACACACACAAACACACACACAAACTTTCAGATTTATAATATTAGTAAGATAAATAATTTCAGGCCTATTAAGGGTTTTCCGAATGAAATGTTAAGCTCACACCATTGTTGTAAGCAATAATCAGGGCCAAGGTGGCACTGTTTGTGTTCGAAACAAAAACAAACCATTTGCATAATTTAACGTTTCAACTTTTAAAGGTAACCCCGCCGAGGCCATTACAGTATAACAGAGAAGCAAAAAGGCTAAATAGCTCCTGGAATACGGGTGTTTTCCAATACGACTTCTAACTTTAAATGTGAAAAAACTCTGTTTATAAGCTCTAACCTTTTGCTGTCCGCCATGACACTACAGATCGCGGTTCCATGCCCCTCCCCTCAAACCCCATTCCACTCCTAACCACTCCTTCAGCACCCATTACACACTCCTTAACCATCACACTTAGTATGTATTGAATGAATGAGTTATTTAGTATGATAGGACTTGTGAACTGAATAGTATCAGCCGATTGCTTTGTTAGGTTAGAAAAGTTAGAAAAGTTCTATTTACCTAGGACATGCAGTATTTCATATGTAGTATTGTTGGTGTAATATGTTCATACTGATAGGTAAGTGTATTTAGACGATAGACGATATTATATACCAGTTTAAAAAAAAGAACTCAGTTAAGCTAGAGGTCGTTCGCGCAGACTTCACGGTTGCTGCGACGGGGAATTTTTAGTTGTACCTGCACCTAGATTTAGAACTGAGTACAGTTAGCAGTTTCCATGTTTACAACGATTTTTACAAAAATACACGTTTTGTCATAAAAAAAAAAACAGCTCTATCACAGCAATAATTTATGATCAGAAAAATAAGCGATTATTTGTGTTTCCTATAGCTTAATAAGATAACATCAAACCAACCTCGATCTGTCGAAATTATGGATCAAAACTAATCATTTTCAGGATTATATAAGGGAACATGAGAAGTTGTAAGTTGTAATAGCGACCCGAGACCGCTGGATTATGGTGGGAAGTTTACACATGTTGTGTGTTGACGACGCAGTTATAACGAATGTCCGCAGCAGACGATGTGCTACCTGCACAGGTCCTTCGAAATAATTATATAGACCAAGTTAGTATCTTTATTGATTATAATGTGACCCTCGGTTAACCGGCATTCCCTTTTATCCTTCCACTTCCAGTGGATGATCGAGTCGTTAACGCTCGCAAGTTATCTTCATAGCGGGTTCGATATACATGGATGGTCCAGACAACCCCTTATTGCTGGCTCTGACTGTACCCGGAAAATACGCGAGCTTTTAGAAATATGCGCTTGACTGTCCTTTCTCATTGTATCGCGCTACATACCACACTGTGTCAATTCCCCATTCTCACACTTCTAGTTGTTATCTTGCAAGCTGAAACTTGTAGATGAGTGACGCTTTATACTTTTACAGTTTCACTAGAGTACCAATGGTGTCGGGGGTTGCTGTTATTTGCAATGTTGGATGCAGGTGGAAAAACTAGTACGAGTTAATTAAATGCAAAGTGTCAAATTAGTCTAACATAAAACGAAGATGATTTATTGATCGTTGTTATTTATTTCTGATTTTTGCGCTATCCGAACTTGCCGCGGCCGGTTTAGGTCGGAAGGTCGACATCATGCTGCTGCAGTAGGAAAACTCACTGATGATAGACAGATTGCAGAATGTCGCTTGAATCGATTGGCAATCGAAAAAAAAACAATGTTTATCATACTTGAAAAACATAGGTCTATGCTAATCAATTATAAAACTGCATTACACCCAGAGCAATATTATTTGACAAGCATTAGGATTTGAAGAGCTTTATCATTTTTACTGACGATTACAAATGCATGCATGTTCAAAGGAAACTAAAAATTCTTATTCTTAATAAATGAAAAATACGGAAAGAATATGCGATTTCATACAAATGAATGCTAAGGCCAATTATGTGAGCTACAAATTGACAATAACCTCACAGTGTCCAGCAAGCGCAAGCACTAAGTGACAAGATTTCAACATTAGAGGCGGGTCAGCTATCAAAGATGTAGTTGCATGTTTTTCCGCTAGGTCGCACTCGCAACGCTGCACTGACATCATCGACGCCCGTAACAAAAACAGGGTCGAATTCCTCACGGTAGAACAACGTTTCCCTCTTTTATTTGCTGAAAATAACGGACGACCTTGAAGCCTTTTTACTGACGTGTATTGCTAATCCCGGAATTCTGTCCCACAATCTACCTATGGAACTCTAAAACGGTTCTGATAAAATAAGCAGCCTGTAGGCTACGTTTGATATTTTTAATAAGTCTATAATTATATTCACAAGATTTGTTTAGCACACAAAACATATCCCTTATCGTATATTAGACCTACGATAATGTACTGATAACGATAAGCACTTTTATAACATCTGTTATGTCAAGAGTACGGGTTAAATATACTGAATACGCCTACGTCTAAAGGTATGAGACCAATTTTTCTACAATTATTACCCAAAAATGATGCAAATACAATGCCTTTAATGTATTTGTAAATGTATGCATTGGTCTAATATTGTCACAGAGTAGCCTACTATTCCTGATTTATTTTAGCGGTGACGACATCATCTGTCTTGAAGGAATAAAAAATAAGTAATGGGGATGGGAACAAATAATTAGGCTAAATAAGCTTTCGCTAACATAGGAAATAATTATTTTTTCTGTCTGAAAAAATTACACAAGCTCATTCATGAAAATTACCAATAAACTGAACACGCTGCAGTGTTGGCTGTGTGTAGTAATTAATTAATTAATTAATTGCTATGCGTGTCTAATTCATACCACCAACTACCATCATAAAATTATTCCGAACAAATCATAACTACAGTACATCAGTGCAAAGAAACACGACTTAAACCATCTTTAAAACTTAAAAAATGATAGCGCTAATTTATTTGTAATCAATGCAGAACTATTTTTACAAATAATTATTAAAAGCTAATTAAGCCATATTCTCGTGACGAGCTTGTGTAGCACGTATGGTACGGTACCGTACAATATGACATCGCAGCGCCCTTATCAGTGAGTTATAATTTAAGTACATATTATAACAATTTCCAAGGAATTACGTTATTATAGGAATAGTAAGCTCTAAATTTACCTCGAAATTTCGACAAAGTCTCTTGTTTTGTTAGCTTGCAATGGCTACACTCAACAAATAAGTTATTCGACTAAACATTTTGTAAAGGAAAGACGTCATGGACATTATGTTTTCTTCATTTAGCGACTCCATGCATAGTATATTTTTTCGTAAGAGTGGTACCTAATTACCTTACATCAAAAACATGTTATCAAACGTACGTAAACAAAAACAAACGCTTAGTCGGGAAGGCCTCCGTCGCCAGAGGCTATCACTGTGTATCAACACATTAAGTCGGCCAGCCACCTGTTATGGCTACGGAGCTATTTTTAGCTCTGGAGCGAGATAAAGGCTCGAACGCGGGACCCTCGAGCCGTCTAGGGCTCAAGTATTGATCTTTTGAGCGTGAATAGCGCAGGTAAATAGACTGACACGGACTGTCCCGACCCCATGACGTTGGCATACAATCACCATCCGTTCCCACACTCCCTACATATCGTACCCCATACAAGGAAACTACGCAAACTAGCATTTATTGAACGCGAAGTCAACATATCAATTTATTTACCGACTATAAAATTAAAATAATCTGTGTCTGGAGTATAGGTACAGCCTCACTAAATTGTCGGATCCAACCGGCATAAATAGGTGTGATAAATGTTTGTGTTAGCAAAATAAATTCAGTGCAAAAAGCATGTGTTATTGCGTAATTCTTATAAAGACACCTTCTAAAATTTACCCTAACCAAGTTATTAAGTTAATTTAGTTCACGCCGCATAAATGGAAACTCATATAAAAATAGTCTAAGTTATACAAATGTCTAGTGTTTAATTAAAAATTCTGTTAAAAATTATCCAATAAAATATTTGCCAAAAACCACTTCAAAATTACCGGTACCGGTACCTCCTTAGCTTCATACCAGGCTGCGTCACGAATATTTATAATAAAAATAATATTTACAATTTAAACATAAAGACTTGTTTACTTTTGGATTTATATACGATACTTTTAGACTTAAACATAATCTTGGCGATGGTTTTTAAAGCATGTATTTACTGTACCTTTACCATTGGCCAAATTAAAGAATACAACACTACCGTAGCTATTAACTATTTGATATCATAAAAAATAAACCCTGTTTGAGGTATCCTACTTAAAAATTAAATTTACAAACCACACAAAAATAAAAACGCAAGGCCACTCCTGTGTTAACTACTTGAACGAGCACCAAGCCTCAAGCGATAATTGAGACCATCTAAATTCGTAGTTAACAGGCTTGAATTAAATGCAAATGATATGTAATTGAAGTGACCGGAGATAACCTATTGAGCAGCGGCTAGTCGCCCATCTACATCATAACCTGAACACAACATACACACTTACCGGAGACAGCTGATGGTATCCAAATTGGCATTTTCGACGCACAATAAGCATAAACAAAAATATCACCCACACAGCACAATAAAACACAAAACGACACAGAGAAACGGCGGGCGACAGACGTTCCGCACACCACGGCCTGACGCCAACTGAATCAAACTGGCGTTGGAGAGAAGAACAAGAACCGAGACTACTTCAGTCCAGTCCAGTGCCTGTTGTATTCGCTATCCGCTCTCAACACACACGCTCATCTAGCGTTTCCGCTCTACAATATGTCGCTTTATTATCTTAATTAGATCTTTGTTAGGCCAACTAAGAAAGCTACCGGAAGGGGTGGGGCGGTTTGGTTTTTAATAATTTTACGGTGTGTACACTACTATTGTTTACCTATTTTTTGTGTGACAATAATTGTAAATAGTTGAACAAGTTTTCTTTATGTATTGTAAGTAAAACAAATGTTTCCGTTGATTCACCCCCATTTGTTTTTATTTATTTTTATTAGTTCCCGTTTAAAATATTAGCTATAGCAAAAGAATATATTCCGTGTGTTTTACAAAGACCGTTGTACCTTTAGAATGTTCAGCTAAAGATTGCTACAATGAAGACGCCCAAAATCACGCGCTATCCAAGCAATAAACGAGAAATGTGAAGTTTCTATCTCCGTTTAGGCTACCTATGTAACCTGGTATAACCAATTCCAAACCTAGCATTATAACCGGTGGTAAATTAATCAAATAATTTTTTTTTAAATATTAATACGAAAAATAATCCACGTTATCAATTATTCACTACAGTATTTTATAAAGATTTTTTAAATTAAATTATTTTTGTGTTCGATATGATCAATACTATCTAACAAAAAATGCAGGCATTAAGGGTGTTTTGTTAACGGACAATAATATGTGTATGGTTTTTGTGTTTACATAAAATTTAATAGACGATTATTTTTAAATAACAGTTTTATAATATTTATACAATCTCAAAACATGACTTGTAATAACAAATAATGGTAAATTGTTTTAGACAAAACACGTGTTTAATCAAACAGTTCGTTGTATCAACGGATATTCAACGGACATAATTTTGCCCCTTTCTCTTCAAATGCTCTTATTATGTGTCACTCTTTTTTCTTTGACACGACTATAGCGTAGTACAATATAATTATTTCTGCATCATGAGCCAAAGGTCAATTAGTGTTGATGTTTTTTTCTATTCGTGTTTCCTTTATCGGGAAACCGGGAAACCAACGAACTGATAGAAAAGAGTTTCCGCAAGAATTACTCAACCTCGACTAAAGAAAGCGTTTCAGCTTTGACAAACCGAAAACGGAACCGTGACTAAAAAAGGAGCGTGGAAAACATCGGAAAGTGCGACAATTTTCTTGACTTTCGACATCCTTCGTCCCACTCTCTAAAATCATCGAAACATTCAATACAGCCGAAACCGGTTCAATATAACTATACGCGCAGAATGTTATTAAATTCTACGCAATATGGCTAATAAAATAAATAGTTTTATGATAATATTTAATAGGATGTAGTTGTATACTGTAAGGGGTATGACGTAATGTCCAATGTTAAATCATTTTCAAAATTAATATTTTAGAAAAAGAGTCATAATATCCATGTTTTCCACACCCCCTTAAATTCCAGTCTTCACAAATAAATTAAATAATGTGCAAGAAAATTTAACGGTAGTGTAATGCCTAAAACTAAAAATTTAGAAAAACCTCATTGCGTTCAATGCTACAGACTACGTTGGTTGATTCAAATAGACCTCGGACCCGACGGCCATGAGGTAGGTGGGCGTATTAAAAACTCAAATTTACCGCCTTTGTTTTTTAATAAACTTCTTGTTATGTCTTAATTTGCAGATTGAGTTATGGGTTACCGAGTAAAACTGAGCAAATTTCCTTCGTTTTACGGTATACAAGTAAAAGTTCTAAACGTATTTGGAAGAAAAAAATAATTACACTGAAATATTTAGTGGCTCTTTCAGTTTACAATGTATATACTGTACTGTATAACAATTACTCAGCTGCAGAAAACAATGTTAATGACAGAGCTTAGGCCGACAGAAGGTGTCCGTTGACTGGACTAGGTCCATTTGTGTCAGTCATGACTGTACTTTAGACTTAGTGACACTTGGACGTTATGAAACAATATACTAGTAGTCTTGGACATTAAGAGGCATTTAAAACAATAGTCACTGTTTTTATTCCTTTATTTCATCCTCTTGCTCATTATTTCATTTATGTTTTGGTACAGATTTCAGTGTTGAACTTTACGAGACTTAAAATCATAAAAAGACCATAAAAATCATAAAGGGAACGATTAAATAGATTTTAAGTGGATAACGCAATCAGTCCTATTATCTTTAAATTAGTTGAACTTACCTACAATTAATATTTTACAGCCCAGCGTTTTATACTTAATTAAACCTTATCGTTTTTTATTATCAACTTTATTAGACTAATTGCGTTATAAATGTTTTTTACCATAGTCCCAATTTGATAATAATGTTTATAACGTTTTGTTTTAAGGCAAATGTGATGTTTTAAATGTCAAGATTTAACTCTCCTGTTATATTAGAATACATGAAACATAGTAATATTTGTTCATCAGAAATTATTTTAACATCTTACTTTGCAACGTAAATTACGAAAATTATTTGTGCTTACATAATATTTTTGTCATAAATATAAGCAGAACGATAATTTTTTACTGCTTTTTATTACAAAAAGCATGTTGTGAACACTAAACCCACATGGAAGACTGCTACTGAATAATTTAACAGGATAACATGGTATAACCAAGCACAAAGAAAATATAATAGCAGAGCAATTTTAATTTGTGAAAGCACTTGTTGTGTTTCATAAACAGTATTGTATGATTTCTTAGAATAAATTCGTATTTTCCATTTTCTGATAATGATAGTTACTGTACTCCAAGTTTTGATGTAATGTGAAGCAACACTTGGAATCAATTAGGGTTGTTCTTTTGTAGGTTTTCCATGTCAACAAGAATGTATGTATATGCTATATGCTATTGCGGGTCAACTCACTAACTTGTGTGCCGTTCAACGCCATTAATATTTTTACTTTTTTGTCAATAGTAAAGATCAAACCCTAGAATATAATCATTAGTTAATCACTTCATGAGTGGTAGTAGTGACATCATTGGCAAGTTTATGTTTTTGTAAGGGAAATTTGCACACTCAGGGGTTTTCGCTACATAAAACATCGACGTTTAGTTAGATAGCATCTTTAACTAATATCCTAATGCCAAACGGCATTTGCATATTTGAAGTCGAACATTATAAGCGAACACTTGGTACGGAATGTACATCACTGAAGTATGTGCATTTCATACAAAAGTCTAAACTGTTACTGTAAACCAAAGTCTAACTACTGTAATGTTTATAGTAAATACAACTTAATGCAAACAAGTGCTTTTATTCCGTCAAAACTGCAGAAAGACGCACAAAAGGGTTTACTTGATGAAGAATTATTTTTAAGCAATGAACTGTGAAAACTATATGAGTTTATTTTTTTTATTTTATACTTTGTTTTAATTGGTGTGTTTCAACGCCATTGGTTTTTTATGTTTTAATTTGTGAACGAGTTTACCATTTTTATAAGGGATTTTATTATAAATGTCTGGTCTTGTTGACTTTTGCAGTTTCATTGAACGTATAAGATCTACAGATGATTTGTGGAAATATTTCGTGGGCTTCAAGTTATCATTATTGCAAACTGTAAACTGAATTTTACACCGAATGCACAGTGACCATAATGATAAATTAAATGGTTCGAATTCCTCGGAATTTGTATTAACTTAAATAATAAAGTGGCATTCGTCAAAGCATGGCTGATTAAATTCTCTACATAAGACATAGTCGTACAATATTTCCTAAACATATGCTATGCAGGATCACTCAATTTGTCAAAGCGTATTCATTACGTAAAGTTAATTACATTTTAATTTCCATTATTTCATCCAAACATGCGTCAGCAATAAAAGATAAACTCAGCGTTGTGGACAAGTGCTTCAAATTAATCTCTTTGTCCCAAATACAACGCGCTGGCTCACGAATTAAAACTGGAGCATTTGTTATAGAGTTTCAACAAACAAAACTTTATTGCTTTTGTCTATAGAACACAATATACCAATAATTGGATTTGGCTCAGTTGAATCATCACGACTAATTTTAACATGTGAAATAAAAACTCCTACAGTAGTAATATTACTGTGCACTTGGAATTTAAACTGCAGTGGGTGTGATAGCTCAACATCCAATTTATATTTTTCCTTTGTAAAATAAAATACTCATTTATGTAACATATATACAAGTACAAGTATGTCTTTAGGTACACTATAAATGTTGTTGAATGAATCCCCTACGCTACTAGAGAATCATGTTAAATAAATGTAATATCTTTGAATCAGTGCATCGTAAACTATTACACACGTTATCAAACATAAATTATAAAAACACAACCTTTATTAGGCCTACCTAAACAGTCAAATTTTAACAAATCAAACATTGCCTCTAACGAGAATGACAAATATTAAACCTTAATTTTACCATTGAGAAACTAATCAAACGAAAACCAATAAACACAAACAATAACTAAAATCTACCGAAGTCCCAATTAACATTTATAAGCTGATACGACATTACAGTTTAAAAGTAATCTGAGCTTACCGAGAACTGCTCCTCAGAGACCAGATTTACTCCTTCGAGGATAACAAAACCTAAAAATACGAAGGGGCTTATCTGTCTCCCTTGCGGCAGTCCATCACGGCCCAAAGGACGCTTTGAGGGTGGTAGAAGGGGGAGGGGGAGGGGGGTTCTGTCTGGCTATCGTCAAGAGTTCGCCCTCTTCTTGGATCACGCGTTAAAATTAGGTTCCTCCCATAAATAATAACGGCTTAGTGGTCTGGATAAAGATTATTGCCCAAAAGCCCATGAGCCCTCGCTCGTTTGAAAGTTTTTGTAGCTGAGTCTGTTATTCTAATCTTCACCGAGCCTGTGAAGACATTCATCATCAAGAGTTTGCTAACAAACTATTTAAATGACGGATATTGATATTTCTTTCGTGAGATTTCTTATACTGATTAAAAATA